CCGCGAGTACACCGCGATCCCGCGTGCAGCCGTGGCGGCCGCAGTGCGGGTCGTACGCAAAAGATGGACAGCACGTACGTCAGGTTGCCGAGGCATGCGAAGAGGAAGAAGAGCATGCTGACGCCCTCGGTCGATTTGCGGCGGTAGTTGAGCAGGATCTGCGGCAGTCGCGAGCCGAGGTACAGCACGGCGCAGAGCCAGCCAAAGACCTGGCCCCAGAAGTTGAAGCCGAGCGGCTGGTCGGCGCTGTGGTCACCATCGTGGCCGTCGTGGCCGGCGGCGTGCTTGGGCGAGTAGCGCCGGCTGAGGAACCAGCCGAAGACGCCGGCGGCGCAGACCATGAGGATGGCGACGGCGTTCCAGAGGACCGTCTGCAGACGCGTCGGCTGCGCCGGCGTCGCGGGCGGCGGACCGTCGTGCAGCGGCACGGCTGGCGAGAGGTTCGACCAATCGGAGCCGCGGCGCTCGCGGTGGGCGGCGGCGTGGTCGAGGAGCGTGGTGCGCTCGTTGAGTATGTCGCGTTCGCCGTCGGGGACGCGCGCGGGTCTTGGCTTTGGTGCTGGCGGCACGACCTCGTCCCTCCAGGTGAAGCCGCGGTAGTAGAAGCACTGGGCGAGGAGTACGATATCGGCAATGGTGTAGTAGATGGCGAGAATGATCTGACACGTCAGCTTGGACGGCCACAACCCGTTTTTGGGGGGAGCGGGCTGGTAGAAAAACGTACCATGGTCGGAAGAACGCCCTGCAGGACGGCGCCCAGAATGTTAAAGACATCGCCGGCAAGCCAGACAATGATGAACTGCAGAGACAGTCCGTCTGCGCTGCTGCGGCGAAAGTTCTCGAGGATCTGGGGCGAAAAGACGACGACCCAGCAGGCAATGGAGATGGAGCCACAGATGCCCGAGATGGCCTCGACGTCGAGGTGCAACGGCGCCGTGGGAGGGGCCATGGAGAACATGTCGACAGCCGGCTGGCCGCGGTCGTAGCGCACAGCTCGAGGAGGGCGGCAGTGGTGACGATGCGTTCGTCAGAGGGTGCACCCGAGGGAGGTGGGGAGGGGACGAGCAGTCTGGTGCTTGAGGGCGAATGGTTCCTGGGGTCCGCCTAGATGTAACAAAGAACTCCGACAAGACGAAGATGGGAGAAAGAAAAGAACAAGCGAAGGGAAAAATGGCGTCGGCCGTGACTCAATTGACCTCTGACCGGAACTGGGTCGCGTGCCGAGCAAAGTGGTAAGGCAGGAGCAGACTTTTTTTCCTCGTCGTCCAAGCCGCCTGTGCTGGCTGGTTCCAGTGGAGGTTCTAAGGCCTGGAGTGTCTAAAGCCTGCCTCCTTCTCGTTCAGCTCCTCTCGGGTCTCAATCCGGGTGGCCGTGCTCCCTCCCCTCGGAGCGAGCTGCAAAACTCGATAGGCTCGTCATTACACGCTCCACGTGCCCCCCTGCAAGGTCCTGCAAGGGTAGAGTTTTTAGCGAACGAAAGCGACGTCACAGGGCGATCTGGAATGCGGGGAGGCCGAGGCCAGGGTCCCCGCCAACCCTAACCCTGAGCCAGCTCGCCCGACAGCTGCGAGAGCTCTCGCCGACCCATCGATGGAAGCAGAAGTGGAAGGTGGGGTACTTGTCATGATGCCTGCTTCAACGTCGAATCATGAGGGATGTCTACATGGTGAGCTGCGATTCAATCAAGTCCATATCATTGGGATTCCCATTGATCAGAGACCCTCGAGAATGGCCCATCGCCGAAACGCCAAATCATCACGCAGTCAACGCTCCGCACCGGAGCTCTCTGCTAGCGCTGTCAAATGGTGATGCAACATTTGCTGTCGCCGCCCCACGATGGTTTTCCGAGTCGGCACTGGATTATTAAGCACTCACCTCTCATTCGAACAACTCACAACCACCGCCGCCCATCACGACATTCCGCCTTCCGTGACATATCCTCCATAACCCTCCCCTCCCGTGCCCTTCTCCTCCTCTCACGAGCGTCCAACAGCAATCACTACGACCATTGCGTCCCCCATCCTGCTCACTGCCCTGCGCACCAGGGCACCGTGGAACCGCTGCCTCCATCGTTCTTTCGCCTCCGGCTTTACCGCTCCCGCCAAAACATACCTCGGCATGGCTCCTCACGCCGCCCCTCAGCTTCTCCCGCCGCTGGATGACCCTCAGTCGTCGCTGTCGAAGAAGTTTGGCCGTGAGACCATCAATTACTTTGCCGGGAACCCCGTCAACCGCCTGTCATGGCTGCGCACCGATTTCGGGTTTCTCAGGACGGCCTTCCAGCTCGAGGAAACTCGCTTCCTCGCCTTGAAGAATCTCACACCCCTGGTCGATGACCCGAACACGCTGTCTCCTCTGACGTACAAGGACCTCGCCCCGGTCACCGGCGAGGACCCCTTTGGACCCTCGGAGGACGATCTCATCAAGAATTTTGACTCCAACGAGAACCGTCCCGTCGTCCTGTTCCTCGGTCTCCTCGATGACGGCAGTGTCCCGTTCGAGTACAAGGGTCACAAGGGCCGCCCCTACTTCGCCGTCGACGTGACACCCCACGGCACCTACGCTGCCGCTGCTCAGACCTTCATCGACGAGCAGCAGGCTCGTGGCAGAAAATTCCTTGAGGCGAGGATACACCTCTCCCTCGATGCCCGATCAGGTACGTTTTTCTTTTGTGTGTGTCTGGTACACGCTGCTAGCAAAACAGCCCGGCCTGACCAGAAAACCCCCCTCCTCTAGCTGCTCTCTACGCCCAGGCGCGCTCCACCATTGACTGGAACGCCCGCAATCAGTTCTGCGGGCGGCTGCGGCGCGCGCACCCTCTCAGGCCACGCCGGCTTCAAGCGCATCTGCCCGCCGACGGACCGCGCCACCGCCGCCTCCGGCACCCCGCGCGCCGACTGCCCCACCCGCACCGGCATCTCGAACCTCAGCTTCCCGCGTACGGACCCCACCATGATCGCCGCCGTCATCTCGGCCGACGGCAAGCGCCTGCTGCTCGGCCGCCAGAAGCGCTACCCGCCCCACATGTACAGCACTCTCGCCGGCTTCCTCGATTCCGGCGAGCCTATCGTGGACGCCGTGTGCCGCAAGGTCTTCGATGAGAGCGGCGTCCGCT